TGAGAGAGCCAGAGAGCTTCAGTGACGAAAAGACCTAGGAAAGACGCGCGTCTGGAGGCACAGCTCACCATTTCTTTGTACCCTAGAGGCCCCAAAAATCCCTTGACAACATCAGCAAAGACCTCAGCTACGAGCTTGTAGGTGCTCGACACTGTCGAGGGATCCCTCGCGTAGCAAGCCTCCCAGGCTGCGCATTGCTCAGCCAGCACGGGCGCTTGATTAGGCGTACCACAGTGGTTCAGAGAGTACTGCTGTGCGCATCTTGCAATCTCGCTGTGGTGTACTTTGAAACGGAAAAAGTGTGGCGTAGGTGTGAGGTACGGCAATCTACCATCGATATCAGTAGTCCGCATGCTCACTTCTCTCGTGTGCTTTTGCCTTGCTTCTCACATCGCTGGCAAAAGCCGAGACCATGTGGAACAAGACGTATAGCCCACAGGCCGTGACACCGCCATTAGCCAGTGCAGCTCCCCAGCTGAAAATCGTGACCGGTACAAGAGGGTTGAGATGTAAGGAAAGCGCTAGGCCAAGAGCATCGTCTCGCCCTCACTCACGCCTTGGCCACGGCGGGATCCGCCCACGCTGAGCTACTGGACTCGGTCTTCGGCGGCGTGGCAGCCGCTGGCTGATACCAGTGATGGTGTGTGATGCGGCTGTTTGGGCTTTTGAGAGAGGCCTGTAAAGAAGCTACTCGTCAGCAAAGTCAAGCAGGACAGACGGCCTAGTCGATCGCAGCCTCAACCGCATACTCACTGGTCGTCTCCTAGACTTGGAAGTTGGAGTGATGGCAAGCCTTGCCAGCGCTGAGCTCGACATGCTTGACCCTGCACGAGGCCCCTCAAACGAAGAATCGTCCTCTTCCTCTTCCTCCTCGTCCGCGCTTCCCGCCTCGTACACCCAGTCCCGCTCATTCTCGTCATCCCTCGCGTCGAAAGCGGCACTGCCTCGGCCATAGCTCATCCGACCTTGAGAGTTCCCATTCCTCCTGCCAGGGTTTGAGCTTCGCACCTTTTTGGCGGCTGTGGCGGTGTATTG